CTTAGATTGTGGGGTCCAACCCTAGCCAATAGGGGAAAGACACAGAAACAGAAGCTGCATTAGATAATAATAAAAACCCCTGCTTTCATTTGTTCTATGTGCTCTCGCCCTTGCTCCATACATGAGATATACCCTTCTGCAGAAGTAAATTTGCCTTGCTGAGAGGCCCTTTGTCCTTTGTCTCAGTGCTAGTTCTTCTTTGTGGCACTGAGCATTTGCTTCCAACACAAGTCAACTGCAATGAAGAGGTTCTAACATATATGGGCTTCATAAATTCTAACACCCATGGTCTAGACCACTTATTTTGAAAAATTAATAATTTAATGTATACTTATAATACTTGAAATTGCAAAAATATAATCGATGAATATTTTATGTGTTTATACACTGTTCTCTGTGTGACCATGACAAACTAATGGCAGAGAATTGTGGTAGATATGAATGATGAGTGAAGGTGTGAATATCGGTGAACAAAGAAGAGTACACCAAAGGAACGAGAACCAGGCAAAGAGGGGGCATTCTCTACAGAGTATCTTAGTGGCTACATTGGACTCAGTATCCTCCAAGAGAGTAACTGGAACAGGTAACTCTAGATGGGAATTTAGGGGGCAGAGAAGCTCCAAGATGAGGAAGATAAGTGTATCCACCATAGAGAAAGAGGAATCACCTTCCCCTGGCCCCCCCCCAGAAAATCTGCATAGGGCTATGTCCTGACAAGGAAAAGTTGGAGAATGCAAAGAATTGTCTTGCAAATCCCTATCTCCTCAGGCTATAAGTCCCTAAGACAATTAAAGGAGACTCTTTCCAACTAGAAACGTCAGGGAAATTTCCCTGCAGCAGAGCCAAGTGCCTGTGGCCTGGGACCCTTACTTTGTTTCCACTATCTTCAGGGATTGAGTTCTGGTTCAATGGTCCAGACACGAGGAGCAACCCCATGGCTCTATACCACCCCACAATTCTTCGGTAGTAGGGAGGGGGACTCCCAATTTGGATACCTACTAGTTTTTAAAAGTTTTAATCTTTTTTTTGTTGTTGTTTTTTTGAGACGGAGTTTCACTCATCACCCAGGCTGGAGTGCAATGATGCGATCTCTGCTTCCCGGATTCAAGCAATTCTCCTGCTTCAGCCTCCCAAGTAGCTGGGATTACAAGCACCCACCACCATGCCTGGCTAACTTTTGTGTTTTTAGTAGAGACAGGGTTTCACCATGCTAGCCAGGGTGGTCTCAAATACCTGACTTCAGGTGATCCACTCGCCTCGGCCTCCTGAAGTGCTGGGATTACAGGTGTGAGCCACCATGCCCAGCCCTCTAATTTCTTTAAAATATAATTTAATCTCTCTTTCCATTTTTTTTTTTTTTTTTTTTAGACAGAGTCTCGCTCTTTTGCCCAGGCTGGAGTGCAGTGGCGTGATCTCGGCTCACTGCAAGCTCCATCTCCTGGGTTCACACCATTCTCCTGCCTCAGCCTCCCGAGTAGCTGGGACTACAGATGCCCGACACCATGCCCGGCTAATTTTTTGTATTTTTAGTAGAGACAGGGTTTCACTGTGTTAGCCAGGGTGGTCTCGATCTCCTGACCTCATGATCTGCCCGCCTTGGCCTCCCAAAGTGCTGGGATTACAGGCGTGATGCCTCAATTATTCAATTTATTTTTAAACTTAATTTAATTCAATTTATTTTTTAAATTGTGGTAAAAATGCACATAAAATTTTCCATCTCATTTTTAGATGTATAGTCCAGTAAAGTACATTCACATTGTTGTGCAAACACTCTAGAACTCTTTGTCTTGCAAAACTGAAACTCTATACCCATTAAACAACCCCAGTGTCCCCCCACCCCACCTCCAGACCCTGGCAACCACCATTCTTTTGTCTCTATGAATTTGACTACTGGGCACCCCCTCTGATATGGTTTAGCTGTGTCCCCACCCAAATCTCATCTTGAATTCTCACATGTTGTGGGAGGGACCCAGTGGGAGGTAACTGAATCACATAGTCAGGTCTCTCCCATGCTATTCTCATGATAGTGAATAAGTCTCACAAGATCCAATGGTTTTAAGAAGAGGAGCTTTCCTGCACAAGCTCTCTTTTTTTTTCTGTAGCCATGTGGGACATGCCTTTCACCTTCTGCCATGATTGTGAGGCCTCCCCAGCCACATGGAACTGTAAGTCCATTAAACTTCTTTCTTTTGTAAATTGCTCAGTTTTAGGTATGTCTTTATCAGCAGCGTGAAAACCGACTAATACACCCTCATTTATTCAAACAGTATGAACCAAAAGAGTGGTTGACTTTTAATTCACATATATTTATGTTACTTCAATGAACGGTAAGCATCCACTTTTCAGGAATTCATTTCTGTCTTTAGAAGAGTGGCTTCAGAGACTGGGACCTCGGCTCAGATTGGCGAAATTGCTCCCTGTGGGCAAGGAACTGAGAACTAAAGGGAGGAATGCTAGTGGTTGTGGGCGCTTGGCGCTGTCCAGGGTCCTGCTTTCTCTGGTGATGGAGAGCAGAATTGGGGTCACCTCCTTTCCAGCTGCATCCATGCCCCTACCAGGCGCCCCGCACTGAGTTTTGAGGGCGTCTGGCTCAGGGACACAGAAGGAGGAGTGGAAGGTCTGGGCTTGAGAGCTGATTCATCACACACAAAGAAATGTAAAAATACAACCAGAAATGTGGGGCACCCTGGGACAGAATCCCAGGACTCCCACTGGATGCGATTCTAGGGAGTCTCCAGAGAGCTAGGTGTCTTGGGCAGTGACTTCCCAGGCTGCTGGACTCTGCGGGGCTTCCCATGATAACCAGATCACCTACTTCACCGAGTTGCTGGGAAGTTGGAAAATAATACAAGTGTTCCCTGGAAGAGTAGGATGCTTTTGCTTCTATTCATTCTTCATTCATTCATCAGTTTTTATTCATTCATTCATTCATTCATTCTTGAATCATAGCCCACATGTGCAAGAAGATACTGTGCTGTAGGCTGGAATAAAACAGTGAAGAAAAGGCCCATAGTTTCTGTTCTCATAGAACTTACATTGTGATGAGGGAGATAAGCGATGGGAAATAAAATAATTACATATCTGTGATAGTGGCAGAAAAAAAAAGAAACACGGTGCTTTGGTAGGACAGGGGAGGGGGAGATGGTGATATATAAGATGGAGTGCTCAACCTCTCTGAGGAGGTGATATTTCAACTGCTGGTTAAGGGATCATCCAGAGCCAGCTCTGTAAGGAGCAGGAAGAGGAGCTGAGTGGCCAGAGAGGATCAGCTATGTAAAGGGAAATTAATAGCCTTAATGCTTATAATAAAAGAGAGAAGGCTGGGAATCAGAAGAATCCAACTTAAGAAGTTAGTATATTAACAGAATAAATTTAAAGACAGCAGAAATAATGCAGTAACAATTCACAAAATATTAAAAAGAAAACAAAGATAAAACATAAAGAATAAAAAAACTAAAGTTAGTTTTGAAGACTCTATTTGCTTTTTTGACAATCCAACTCGACTCTGTTTAAAATTGCAAACCCTTTCTTCCCCAGAGCTGATTTTAGCATGAGGGGAGTGACTTGCCTGATGCACAAATTTAAGGAGATATAAAAAAAACTTAGTAATCAAGAGAAATACTATTTTTGGAGATAAAAGTTAGTGCAAAAATATCCATAATGATCAAAATATCAAAATTTTCATTTGACTTATTCTAACCATCACCACTGTTCTACAGCAGTGACACTGTTGTAGAACCCCAAAATTTAGGTTCATATATCTGATGTGCAGTAAGTAAAACACTGACACATCAGCACTTAGGAGCAGAGAAAAGTTTATTCAATTTGGCTAAAGTGAGAGGGCAGGAGAGATGAGCTCTCAAATCTGACCTGCCTTTCAACATAACTGTGGGCTTTTATGAGTAAGGTAGATATGCAGGAGGGGAGATCCTCGATGATCAAAGTTGTCTTCGTCTCTAGGGTGATCAAACTTCTGCATGCCATCAAGGAGGTCTGCATGACCTAAGGATCATTGTTCTTTAAAAGAAAAACGAGTCCATTAATCCTGCTGGTTGCCCCCAGAATTTAGGATATGAAGTTAAACAATTACTAGTGACTATATTCTCTCAAAATGACTCTATACTCCATGCTTGCTTGCATGGAAGAAGAAAAGGACAAAGTAAAATGAACACATAATGATTTTTATAACATAGGCTCAGTTATACCACCAGGCATGTTTTTAACATTTAAGTGCTAATGCTTCTAAGTGTATTGCTATTAATTTAAGATAAACATTCCTCATGTTATGAAACTACCCCACAAAGAGACTGAATTTTATTAAACACCTTTTCAACATAAATTGTGGTAATTGGTTTTTCTGCACCATCCAATTAATGTGATAAATTATAATATTCCTAACATCAGCCCACTCTTGCACTTCTAAGTCACATTAATCATAGTATATTTTAATTAAATGTTGAAATGTTCAAAAATTTTAATACTGGGTCTTTGCATAGTCATAAGTGACATTCATCTTTAAATTTCTTGATAGTGCCATTAGGCTTGAGAAATAATAAAATCCAAAGCCCCCAACTGACTGAATGGACCCCCAGTTGGCCAAGGGAACTCTGGAAAAACCTCAGACCTGAGTTCCCATTCATGTCAGGAGAGATGGGAGGTCAGACACACCACATTATTCCCTTCCCTTAGCTAACTAACATTAGGCTTTCTTCCCTACAGTCTAAACAGAAACCAGCCCTTTCAAAAGACTCCACACTGAAAATGTCAATGACTAGTTTATCTTCCCAGGTACGCCAAAAAGACATAGATTAATTATTCCTTCACTCCTGAGACATCTGCTTCCTGTATTCCTTTTTTCTTCAAATGTTTACCTTATATAAAATGTAGATTTACTGGGTACTAAAGTCTGAAAACTATATAATCATTAATCTCACTGCCACATCCCCTTTTTAAAGGAAAATATATAAATACTAAACCTTTTGAGACCCTCTAAAGAAAAAACAGCCACAGATGCACCTGTGACCCCTATTTTTCCCAGATGCATTCTCAAGCTGGCTCAATAAATCTTGACGATTTGAGACTTATGCCTCAATCACTCATTTTGGTTGTCAGGCTCTATTATCAATAGTTTTCATCTTTAAAAAATCAATTAGAAAAGCTGTCTTCCTCTATAATGCCCTGAAATGGTTTCAGAAATATAAGAATTTTCCTTTTTCTGACAGTCTGGTAGAAATTATCTTAAGAAACATTTACTTTTGTTGAATTTTTCTTTGGGCAGCTTGGAAATCCTGTTGTCTGTGAAGGATGAGATGGTGACTGGCCCAAGGCTATCACGTGAAAGAAGTCGCCACTTTGGTATATACTTTCTTTTCTGTGTTTGTTATAATAGCGCCGGTTAGCTTTCTCTAACTAGCAAGACTGTCCTCACTGGGAATCAATCTCAGTGAAGCCACCTCTCTATGTATCACCTATGCCAAATGTCAGCAGCAGTATTACTATTCTGTGTGGATAAAAGCCCCAGTAACATTACTTGCAAATTTTTACGAAAACCATTTGCCCCCTCTGACTGCCAAGGTCTGTTCTCCAGTCCTCCACATTGACCCACGGGATATTATACAGTGTGATTTCCTGGCCCCTTTCAAGGCACACAGGTTCCAAAACGTTGGGAATATTTGAAGCAATAAGTGTTTTTGTATGCTAATGAGATGGCTGGTAGCTGGAGGCTCCTGGATAGTCTCAGGATGGGGGCTGGTTGCTAGGAGAACCAACTATGTGATTAAAGGGTTGGAACTTTCAGCACTCCCCATACCAGCCTCCAAAGAAGCAAGGGGGTGCTGAAGGTTGAGTTTATGACAATGGCCACTGACTTAATCAATCATGCCTACCTAATGAAGCTTCCACTAAAAGATGGGATTCAGAGAGCTCCCTGGTTGCTAAACACATCCATGTGCTGAGAAGGTGGCACAAGCCAAATGCACAGGGATAGAACCTTCCAAACCTCACCCTATGTGTCTCTTTCATATGGCTGTTCATTTGTATCATTTGAAATATTCTCTTATAATAAATGGGTAAACATAAGTAAAGTATTTCCCTGAGTTTTGTGAGCCATCCTAGCAAATTATGGAACCCAGGGAAAAGAGAGTTGTGGGAACCCTGACTTATGGCCAGTTTGTCAGAAGTACAGGTCACAACCTGGAACTTGCAATTGGTACTTCAAATAGGGCAGAGTCTTGTGGGACTGAGATCTTCACCTGTGGGACATGATGCTACCTCCAGGATGATAATGTCAGAATGGAATTGAATTATAGGACACCCAGCTGGTTTTGGAAAATTGCTTGGTGTGGTATAAACCCACATATTTTAGTGACCAGAACTGTGCAGGAATTGACAGTGTTATCAAAGAAAAAGTGTTGGTTTTTGCCTTATAATAAGCTAAGAGGCTTTATTTTCTCCCACAGACAAGGAGAAAAACATTAAGTTTGTGGTGAACTAAGGAAGGCCACAAATTATTTGACACTACTCCCATCAACAATTGTTTGCCCTAGAATCTGAGCTGGCCTGTACTATTTTCACCAATAGAGGATTATGGAAGTGACTTCATGCCAGTTCTGGGCCTAGCTTTTAAAATAACTGACAGCTTCCTCTTGGCCCTTTGAAATCCTGAATCCCTACCCTGCGGAAACCACATGGAGAGGTCCTAAGACTAGAGGCAATGCTAGAGTAAGTAGACAGATATGAGAGCAGGGTAGGAGAGAGGCCCCCCAGGAATGCCAAGCAATGGTTGAGCCATAGTCAAGCAATCATAAACCTTTTCCTCTGAGATAATGAACAGGACAAGGGAGGGCCCCCAGAAATGTCTGGCTCTCATCAGGTGAAGGACAGGTGAGCATAAAACTATCCCTCTGAGACAATAAGTGGCCACAACTGCCACCAGAAGGGAAAGGAGTCCTCCAACAGATAGAAAACACCTGGAGCCAGTGAACCACAATCCCTGATAAAGTATCAAGTGTGTGCAAAGGGGAGCAAGATGGTGGACTTTGACCTGTATATGACCTTCCTGTATGACGACCAGTAAGGAAAAGTCGTCCCAAAGGAGCATGCATACAACTTCAGTAAACACGCTGTGCACAGGACCCCTCACAAGTGCTGGCAGGCCACTGCACACGGGTAATCAAGCAACAACCTGCCCAAGGGAAGGATCAGCAGGGGAGAAGAGCCTGGAAGACGAGTCAATGTATAAAGTCTCAAACCAAGGATCAAGAGAGGCACTTGAATCTCTCAAGTGGCCTGCTTGATTTCTTTAAAGTGTACTTTGCTTTTTTTAAATAAACTTTGCCTCTGCTTTAAACCTACTTCTGCCTCTCAGTTGAATTGTTTCCTCTGAGGGGGCAAAGACCAAAACTGCTGAGAATCACTAGTCTTCTGGCTGATAACAGGAAGAGGGGTCTGGCTCAACCCAGCCTTTCAGCCCTCCCTGCCAAGGCAGCAGACGTATAAAAGTTATCTGGGACCTCCAGAGCAATCGGGTTGCCAGGTGAATACCACCAAGGGACCCCAAGTGATACCTTATGGAGTATAAGAAATGCTCAGCTGGGCCCTTTCTGAATTCCAATCCAAGTTATGAGATTTAATAAAATCATTATTGTTTTAAGCCACCAAGTTTTGGGATAGTTTGTTATACAACCAATAAATAACCAGAACAGTCTTTCACACACACAAAAATTTTATTGTGTCATGTTTTTGCCAAATGAAAGACTCTCTTTCTAGCTCTAGCCCAAATAACCTTATAATCCCTTAAAGGAAATTAATCCTCCTTATCTTTACAATAAGCTATAGAAAGTGTTCATTGTAGAAGTAGACTCCTATTTCTATTGAAATTAGTGATTCTCAACTATTAGTATACTTAATAATTTGCCTGGGAAATTATCAAAATGCTGGTTTCCAAGGACCCTTACCCAGACATTCTGATTTGGTAAGTCTAGTGTGGGGTTCAGGAATCTCCATTTTAAGACAGATACCCAAGTGATCTTGACACTGGTGATCCCAAGAACACACATGGAGACACATTTTAATAAAAGGTGCCAGAGACAGTGAGGCTGTGAGCTAAGCCATGTCAGTGGAAGTAAGGAAAAAACAAGGCACTTTAACTGATCTTCCCTGTCCGTGTCCTCCAGCCTCATATCCAGGATTCCCTTATCCGCATTCTTAAGCTCTGTATCCAATTAAAAACATACTTTTCAGAGAGTTTTATGCTTTTTATTTTATTTTAGCCTCTCAACCACTGTGTGAAGTAGAACAGATATTTTACAGAGAAGTGGGTATCTGACAGCTGCCAAGTGCACAATTTCTGGGCATAGAGTATCTGAAGTTAAGCACCCAAGTCTGGGTATGTATCTATGTATGTATGTATTTATATTTATATTTTTAAAGGAATGTCAGTTTCTTCAAATCAGAAACACCGCCACCAAGACCCATTTTCTTCATTATGATAGTTACAATCTGGCTTAATGATTAAGTGTGGATTGCTAACTCCCACAGCTTCCAGCAGCTTCTGGGCTTCCTCATCAAATGCCTCTTTGCACAACCTGAGAAAACAAGGGAACATCTCTTTTCCTGTATTCAATTTCCCTACAGCCCTCCACTTTCTCTGTAAAGGATTTATTTCAAGAGAAAAAAAAAACTGTTCTGTTAAAATAGAGAGAGAATATTATAACATGGGTGAGGAGTGGGGAAGGGAACTGAGAGATATAGTGAGGGAGATACAGCAGTTGAAGGAAAATAGAAGAAATTAACAGAAGAGAAAGAGAAACCAATTAAAATTAAAAAGGATCCTCCAAGAGCCTTTTGCTATCCAAGCAAAATTAATACTACTACTGATAATAATGAAAACAACTAACACATTTATTGTTTATTGTTATGCTAGGCACCATTCTAAGTACTTGGTCTATATTGACTCAGATGCTCATAATAACCTTACAGGTAGATTTTATCATTTCACCCATTTTACTGATAAGCAAATCAAAACAAAGAGCAATGGGGGACTAGCTTTAATTAAACATTTAGTAAGTGGTAGGGACAGAATTCAAACTCATCTAGGCTGGTTTCAGGGTGCTCAATATTCAACTACTGTGCTATATTATATCTCTCAAAATTCAGTGTTCTATGAGAGAAAAACAAATAAGTGTCTAGAAAATACCCAAGGATACATAATTAGGTTGATTCTGAGGCCTGTAGTAAATGAGTGGCTCCCCAAATCCTTCATTACAGGAAATGCTCCCCCTGAGAAACTAATGGAGACTTACCCTAGAACTTGTAGTTTACACTTAGGAGACTTCAGGACTTTATATAACTTCATAATTCCTTCATACCCTAAGGTATTCTGTGTCAGATTCATTTTTATCAGTCTTTGGTTGCAGATAAGAGCAGAGGAGAGATCTTGACAGCAGAGAGATGTCAAACCACAGTATTCCAACCTGTAGAGAAGAGAGACAAAAGACAAAAATGAATTTATTCGATGACACAACAAAGCCCACAAGAGATCTGTGAACTCAGAATGGAGGATAATTCCAGAAACTTTAAAAAATGAGCACAGTATAAATTCAAGGACTATAAGCACCTATAATATTCATTATTACCAGATATTTCCAGGCTGAACTTATCCCTTCCAAAATCATGAATTACAAATTCGTAATTATTAAGGAATAAATAAAACATACACTCATGTTACAAAATACTATGAAGCAGTTGAATCCTTGAACATCACTAAAAATACATCACTATAACTAGATATAGGAATTTTGGTAGTGAGTGTTTAAAAAGCAAGGAATAGGCCAGGCATGGTGGCTCATGCCTGTAATCCCAGCATTTTGGGAGGCTGAGGCGGGCAGATCACCTGGGGTCAGGAGTTCGACAAGGCCAACATGGTGAAACCTCGTCTCTACTAAAGATACAAAAATTAGCTGGGGGTGGTGGTATGAACTTGTAATCCCAGCTGCTTGGGAAGCTGAGGGAGGAGAGTCGCTTGAACCCAGGAGGTGGAGGTTGCAGTGAGCTGAGATCGTACCACTGCACTCCAGCCTGAGCTACAGAATGAGACTCAGTATCAAAAAAATAAAATAAAATAAAATAAGCAAGAAACATAATAAGGTCTCTAGCATCATGCCATTGATGCAAATAAAAATGCAATTCTATGGCATATTTTGAATACATTAGGTCAGCTGCCTATAGGTGGGAAAGAAAATGGCTAATTGAGATAAATTAACCAACCCACCCATCTGTCAGTCAAGGGCCTCTGCACAAGCCGATAATAGTATATACATGAACTGAGGAAGCATGTCAAACTCAACCTTCTGCATCTAACATTCTCCTAAACAATTTGAATCTAATTTTTACCTTATGTTTACCTGGCCATTGAACAACTGAGTGCCTATACAGATGCTGAGCATATGAAACTTTTTTTTGTTAAGTGATCACATTTATGTGATGAAGAGATGGTCCCACTAATTATGAGACAGGGTATGTAAATATCACACAAAATCTTTCTTAGTGGAAAAAGCATCATAAAACATAAAGTGTTATCATGAATTCATCAGGAAATATAATCATTTTATATTTTCAGTCACAAATTACAGTCTCAAAATATAGAAGACAGAAACGAACAGAACTGCAAAGTGAAAGACTCAAATCTAGAATTTTAATGAAAATTTTAACATTTTTCACAGTAACTGAGTTATCTGGGAAAAAAGGTCACTAAAATTTAGATAGTTTAAACAGAATTAATAATCTTAATCCACTGATACAGAATACTGCAACTGCCTGGGCACAGTAGCTGGCACCTGTAATCCCAGCACTTTGGGAGGCCAAGGAAACAGAGTAGCTTGAGGCCAGAAATTCAAGACCAGCTTGGGTAACAGAGTAAGACCTCATCACTCCGTCCCCGCCCCCCGCCCCCAGCCCAAAAAAGAAAAAAAAAAAAGCCAGACATGACAGAAAAACCCCTTGTACTTAGAAAAACTAAAAACTAAATTAGAAATAACAATTTTTCATGTTCTTAAGTATGTTTAAAAAGTCATGTAGCAAATGACAACAAACTTCAAAGAACTGTACTCATGCACAGTATGTTCTCAGAAAACAATTCTACAGACTGAATATAAAAAGAAAAGCCTCGTATTTGAAAATTAAGGAGTATGTTTAAAAATAACCTGTTAGCTGAAGAAAAAAGTTCTAGGTAAGTTTACAAATGTTGTGGACTCAAAAATAACAAAAATACTGCATACAATATCAAAATTTTATGATTAAGTTAATGCAGTCATTTGAAGGGAAGTTGTAACCTTAAATATCTTTGTTGGAGAAGAAGAAAGGGACTATGTATGTCTAAGCATCCAACTCGAGAATTTAGCAAATGGTAAAACAAACCCAACAAAAGTACAAGAAAAAATAAGATAAAAACAGAAATTAATGAAACAGAATGCAGATGTACAACAGAGTGGATCAACGTTGTGTTCTTTGAATACAAAAATAAAGAAAGGGTCAAATTCAATATCAGAAATGAGAAAAAACATATCACTATAGATGATTAAGAAGTTAAGCAAATAATAAAATATTAGATGCTTGCCAATAAGTTTTAAAATTTAGATGAAATAGATAAAATCAACAGTATATACTTAACAAAAGTACTCTATGAGAAAGAGAAAACCTAATTATTTAAAAAATTGAATCAGAAGTCAAAAATTTTACACACAAAGAAACTCCAGGTTAGACAGCTTTACCAGAAATTTTTACAAAATTCAAGGAAGAAGTAATTCCAATCTTACAAAAATTCTCTCAGGAAACTAAAAGATAAGGAACACTCCTGAACTCATGAAAATACGGTAATTTTGATGCAAAAACTTGATGAAGACTGCAAAAGAAATTATAACCTATGTCCATTATGAACAAAATTGTTAAATGCTGTCACTAATATTGACATTAATAAAGTAAATTACACAATGTACATAGGAGATATGTCCAAGTTGGTTTGATTCCAAAAATGCAAAGTTCATATAATGCATACATCAATGTGATTCATCACATTTGACAAAATTCTTCAGGGCTAAGCAACTTTAGCAAAGTCTCAGGATACAAAATCAATGTGCAAAAATCACAAGCATTCCTATACACCAATAACAGAGAGCCAAATCATGAGTGATCTCCCATTCACAATTGCTACAAAGAGAATAAAATATCTAGGAATACAACTTACAAGGGATGTGAAGGACCTCTTCAAGGAGAACTACAAACCACTGCTCAAGGAAATAACAGAGGACACAAACAAATGGAAAAACATTCCATGCTTATGGATAGGAAGAAAGAATATCATGAAAATGGCCACACTGCTCAAATTTATGGATTCAGTGCTATCCCCATCAAGTTACCATTGACTTTCTTCACAGAATTAGAAAAAACTACTTTAAATTTCATGTGGAACCAAAAAAGAGCCCGTATAGTCAAGACGATCTTAAGCAAAAAGAACAAAGCTGGAGCCATCATGCTACCTGACTTCAAACTATACTACAAGGCTACAGTAACCAAAACAGCAAGGTACTGGTACCAAAACAGATATACAGACCAATGGAACAGAACAGAGGCCTCAGAAATATCACCACACACGTACAACTATCCGATCTTTGACAAACCTGACAAAAACAAGCAATGGGGAAAGGATTCCCTATTAAATAAATGGTGTTGGGAAAACAGGCTCTGGACCCCTTCCTTACACATTATACAAAAATTAACTCAAGATGGATTAAAGACTTAAACGTAAAACCTAAAACCATGAAAACCCTACAAGAAAATCTAGGCAATCCATTCAGGACATAGGCATGGACAAAGACTTCAGGACTAAAACACAAAAAGCAATGGCAACAAAAGCCAAAATTGACAAATGGGATCTAATTAAACTAAAGAACTTCTGTACAGCAAAAGAAACTGTCATCAGAGTGAACAGGCAACCTGCATAACGGGAGAAAGTTTTTGCAATCTATCCATCTGACAAAGGGCTAATACTCAAAATCTACAAGGAATTTAAACAAATTGACAAGAAAAAAAAAATCCCATAAAAAAGTGGGCAAAGGATATGAACAGATATTTCTTAAAAGAAGACATTTATGTGACCAACAAACACATGAAAAATAGCTCATTGTCACTGGCCATTAGGGAAATGCAAATCAAAGCCACAGTGAGATACCATCTCATGTCAGTTAGAATGGTGATCATTAAAAAGTCAGGAAACAACAGATGTTTGAGAGGATGTGGAGAAACAGGAACACTTTTACACTGTTGGTGAGAGTGTAAATTTGTTCAACCACTGTGGAAGACAGTGTAGCGATTCCTCAAGCATCTAGAACCAGAAATAACATTTGATCCAGCAATCCCATTACTGGGTATACACCCAAAGGATTAGAAATCATTCTACTGTAAAGACACATGCACACATACGTTTATTGCAGCACTATTCACAATATCCAAAACTTGGAGCCAACTCAAATGTCCATCAGTGATAGACTGGATAAAGGAAATGTGGCACATATACACCATAGAATACTATGCAGCCATAGAAAAGGATGAGTTAATGTCCTTTGCAGGGACATGGATGAAGCTGGAAACCATCATTCTCAGCAAACTAACACAGGAACAGAAAATCCAACATCCCATCTTCTCACTTGTAGGTGGGAGTTCAACAATGAGACCACACGGACACACGGAGGGGAACATCACACAACAGGGCCTGTTGGGGGATGAGAGGCTAGGGGAGGGATAACATTAGGAGAAATACCTAATATAGATGATGGGTTGATGGGTGTAGCAAACCACCATGGCACGTGTATACCTATGTAACAAACCTGCACATTCTGCACATGTATCCCAGAACTTAAAGTATAATTTAAAAAAAGAAAAAGAATATTCCTAGCAAACTAGGTGTAGAAGGCAATTTCCTTAAATTGATAAATTGGTGAACCACTGAAATTGTGCTTTAAACATTGGGAACAACATATGATAGTTCATTATCCCCAGACATGTTAACATTATATCACATATATTAACAGTTACTAAGGCATATAAAAAACGAAAAAAAAAAGAATGTAAGAACAGAAAAGGAAAAAATAACTATATTGTATTATTCCTAAATGATGTGATTGTATACCTAGAAAATACAAAAGTATCTACAAATTAGCAACTAGAATAAGCAAGAGAATGTGGCAGGCTATTGGATAAGAAACCAACTTTTTAAAAAATCCTATGTTTCTATGTATAAACACAATGAAAAAAATAACTAAAACAATCATTTACAACAGCATGAAATACAAGCACTTTGGAATAAAGTTAACCAGCAACAAAATACAAGACCACTCAAGAAAAAATTACTAAGCTTTATTACAGACCTAAATAAATGAGATATGTCTTTTTGGTGTATCAGGAGACTCACTGATAGAATAAATGCAATTTGATTCAAGACACCAACATATAGGTAGGTTGGGGGGCAGTGCATATGTATGTAACTTGATAAGTTGATATTTCCAATTTATTTGCCAATGTAAAGGGGAAGGAGAGCCAAAATTCTCTTTAGGAAGATGGGAATACTTGCTGTAGTAGGTACCAGGGCTTATTATAGAGCTATATTAATTAAGACAGCATTGTTAGAACTGGGAATTACAAACAGGTCAGTGGAAGAGAAAACAGAACCCAGGAACAGATCCATGCACCAATGAAAATGTGGTTTATAACAAAGATGTCCCTACCAAGCAGAGGGGAGAAAAATTTCAATACCTTTTGCTGGAAAAAAAAATGAGTATATAGGAAAATTATAAAATAGAACGTTACATCTACCTATATTTTTAAAAGGTAGATTAGAGGCTCCAAAGCTTCATAATTTGCCTTTGATATTTCAGAGATAATATAGAATTAGAATATAATGTATAAGATATAATGGGTTTCTGTAAATATTGTAAAGATGTTTTTCTCTCCCATTTGTATGATTCCTCCAGACCGAAGGTCTCCATGCAAGTAAAGGATAATTGGAGAACAGATGAAGTTCTAGCCACTAGGACGGGACAAACTGATTTCATCGGTGTAGGGGAAGAGCAGCAACAATATTTGGAATGGAACACCTTAGAACCTGGAGGTGTGGCGATTGAGGAGAACAATTCATGCTCTATTTTTTCACCTAGATCCAAAACTTCAGCCTGGCAAAATAATTATGTGGTCCATGGAGTCTATGCAGCAACTGCAGCTAACAGACTGACCCACAACCTGGTTTGTTATGCCTGTCTATACACTATGAAAACAGAAAATCTAATATAGACATAGCAGGTCCTGAACTACTTTGCTGTGCCTGATGCCATCAATAGCAGCCTCCCAATATGGAGCCTTATCATATGTATACAAATACAATCACTAGCACAACCTTGTTTCAATTCGATACAAATCTGCAAGCTTCTCTTATTGCCAGAACAGCCTTGGAATATACCATGTATGAGAATGAGACAGCTACAACTACCAGTGAGACTGCTCACCTGGCTTAATCAAACTAGTGCAATGGCTAACCAAATAAAATATAACAGCAAATCGAAAATTAGAGTGACCTCTACTTTCAGTTACGTGTTTGCTTGTGGGGAAGAGCGGACTGCTAACTGTCTCTTTACTGGGGAGGAGGACTGCTTTTGGCCAATCTTTATTTATTTATTGCCAGTGACATCAAAGAATGGTAGGTCATTTTCGACTCCCTTGTATGAGTTCTAATGCATAAAAGACCTAGTAGTCCTTCCTGGAACTTACTCAGTTGACTGAGTCAGACCCCTGTGGGAATGTTTGAAATCAATACTACACATTGGCCTCATCCCATGCTTGGAGTTTTGTTATTAGTGGCCTTAATTAAATGGTAGATGAGATTAATTGAACAGATTTGGTCCCAATCTCTGTTAATCAGAGTGGCCAGTGGAGTAGCATATTCATGTGAAAATTCACCAGAAGCCAAGATTTTACTGTGTAGAAACAAGGGGTAGACATTTTGGGGAGATATTCTTCCATAGGTCTTTCTCTCCCCTACATGTTTGCTAACAAAAATGGAAGGCCCTGACAACTGTTTACCTCGGCCATTTTCCAGGGTTGTGTTTGTAATGAGCAACCTTGAGGGACAAAGAGCAGGCTTATTACTGCCTCCTGTAAAATCCTGGGTCTCTCAATCTCCATCTGGACCCTCTTCCATCTGGACCCTCTTCATCAGCCCTGTGAGACTCGGGAGACAAAAGGAACTGACACAAACATGCTAATACTCATGCTTTGCTCTGCTACAAGCAATAAAGTCCTTTGTCTCTGATAAGAGTCTTGTGAGTTTGGTTTTGTTTTTTGGCCAGCATCCATGAAACAGTAACAGGTGAATTTATTAGGTTGTAAGTAGGATAAAATTAAATCTCAGACCTAACAGTTACATCATCATCATTGCTATTATAAAAATATATAGTCAATGAAAACATAAAAGCTTCATTTTCTTGGAAGAGTCAGGGGAGATATCTCTGGAAGACTGTTAAATTTCTAAAGGATGACATATGTCATTATGTCTGAGCTTCCCACACACAGAGCACAATTCTTGACCCTGAGGTCAATAATTCATGTTGTATAAGTGAAAATGTACTAGCCAGTATCAGTTCAAAATTAAACAAAAATCTAAATACAGAATTGAACATAAGAAATGTCCACAACACAGAATGTGATTTTATTAGATTACAAGCTCTTTAAGAACATAGCATTTTACAGATAGAAGATAATTAGTAAAAATCTTCAATTTAATAAAAAATTAATTCAAAGACAAGTGGACTATCTGACGAATGATAGAACATGGAAGACCCAAACCAGGTACCACTTGGGTACTAAGCATCTGTCCAAAGTACTAAAGGGGACACAAAGAAATGTGAAATATGGCTTCTATAGTAAAGAACATGCAGTACATTGATCCACTTATTTGAAATTTAGATTCTTTGTTCTGAGAGTAACTTACCTTCTAGCCCCATTTAGTTTGTATTCTCTCTCCATACACTAATTATCTTCTAGCTATACTAGCTACCAAATAGGCATCATTTTCTTAAAGGAAAACTATGAACTCACCCGAGCCTCTGAATGTTACAGTTTGGATATCTCAAAGCGTCACATAGAATTTTCACTCCATCATCCTGCAAATTGTTGTTCCCAAGGTCCAGGCTCCTCAGGTTTGGGTTGTATACAATAACAGAAGCCAGATCCAGACAACATGCATTAGTGAGAACACAGCCCATCAATCTGTAAGAATTACAATAGGAAAAGTGAATCCTTCCGTTGTGAGGCTTAATAAGTTTCCTCCCAGGAGATACACCCAGGTATTTGAACCTCTTTTCTATCTACAATCCAGGACATACATGGGAGAGTCTAATTTATTAGTAAAAACAGATGGGATTTCTTAATGAGCAGAAGAAACCAGCAGGTAAAACTGTTGTCTTCCACAAACAGGTTGTTATCTACAGAGCTTTAAAAATCAAGGGTATAAACATTTATTTTTACCAATAGTTAAAAAAAAATAAATATAAGCCTTCCCAAGGAACCAATAGATCTCTGTGCTTTCAGTTTTTAATATATCTTTAAGTGAAAAAAGTTTCCTGGAATCCATCTCAAAGTATTATCTTCAAAGAAGAAAGCTACATATAAAAAGATATTTATTCCAGGTCCTTTGCGTGGTATTCAAGAGCACTCACAATCTGACCTCAAGCTTTCTCTTTCCATACTTTGTCCCCACAGTATTTTCTAACCACGCACATGAATTTTTCTCCAACTAAACCATATTTGTTGTTGTTTCTCTTCTATTCTCTCTCCTTTCCTTCTGTTTAGCATATCCCCACATAACAGAATCTTCGTCATTTTTCTAGCCTAAAGTAACTCTGTCTCCACTGAGAAGTCCCAACCTTAATCCCTGAGACTGTTGTCATATCCTTATAACAATGTATGGAATATATTGTAATTTGCTTTATATTTATTTCCCTGTAATCAGCATTTTATGTTATTTGGGGACAAAAGCATCACCTCAGTGACTTTTAGTTTCCTTAGCATCTAGTTCATATTGGTTGAAAATATTGGTTAAGAGAATTGACATGGTCTGCATAGAGGCTTTGGAAGGTAACTAAGCAAGTACAGCATTGTTTACAGCATTGCTAAGGAGAGAAAGTTGGCTAGCAAAGACCTTGAGTATATAGGTCACTTAGAAATTGTATCTCTGTAGTTAAATGAAGACATTGGATTTCACAACATCCATTAAGTAAATCTTTGTCTTCCAGTTGAATAATGATGAACGAAATTCCAGAGAATCAGAGAATCACAAAATAACCCATATCATCTACACTTTCCTAAAGTAAGTAAAGGTATTGATTGGACCCTATGGTGTAATTGCCTTTGTGTTTAGAGTTGTCACATTAAACTATTAAACTCATTTGGAAGTTTAGTTATCATGAGTCAGTCTGGTCAAGACAAATACTTCTTGGTCTACCAAAGAGCTTGACTTTACAGATCTGAAAAACTATGCTGGGGTTAGACCCTTAATGACTCACAAAAGTTACTGGTCACTTGGGAGGCCCTGGTAGGAAAGGGAGCTGAGATTGCTAAGTGATGCCTCTGTCTTGATTCATGCCGGCCAAAGTATTTATGCAATGAAATACAAAATACCATACAGTCATTAAAATAATCAAGAAGATAATTTGAAATAAGTATTTAAATGTATTTCTTCTTTATTCTCAGCATGCACACCTTGATAAATGTATTTCTGAAATACTGTCAAGTGAAAAGGAAACCCCAAATCATATCCATACAGCAATCAAAATTATGTATACACATGCAATTCATATGTATGTATACCTGCTCACAGACTGAGAAAACATAATATTAATGAAAATAGTTGGAGTTTAAAAATGTGTAGGACATTGTTAAAAATCCCCTTTCCATTTATTTGCAAGTTTACTTAATTATAACCTGAGTTTAAATATAAATCTAAAAGAAAAACTAGTAGATCACAATTTCAACTTCATGGATAAAAGTAGAGGACACACAGTAGATTCACTGGGGCACAACCAAGGAAAGAATAAAATGGCTACTGTTCAGCAGTGGAATGTAGGATGTTGTAAAAATCCCCTTCCCAATTTCTTTGGAAGTTGACCTAATTATAAACCTGAGTTTAAATATAAATCTAAGAGAAAAACTAGTAGAGAACAATTTCAGCTCTGGATTAAAAGTAAAGGACACACAGTAGATTCACTAGGGCACAACCAAGGAAAGAATAAAATGGCTGCTGTTCAGCAGTGGAATGTAGGATGTTGTAAAAATCCCCTTCCCAATTTATTTGGAAGTCGACCTAATTATAAACCTGAGTTTAAACATAAATCTAAGAGAAAAACTAGTAGAGAACAATTTCAGCTTCTGGATTAAAAGTAGAAGACACACAGTAGATTCACTGGGGCACAACCAAGGAAAGAATAAAATGGCCACTGTTCAGCCTGATGCCTCTGGTCCTTATTACCTGAGGAAAGTTTATTAGAATTACTATGGTAATTATTTTTACAAATCTGATGAGCAGACTTCCCCAGCTTGTCTCAGGCAGAAGAGAGAGGGAAAATCAGCTGTATATTCTTTTCTCTGACAGATACTCGGTTCTCAGCCTTTCTTTCAGTATCTCCCAGACACTGTTGTTGAAACTACACAAAAGGAAAGCAACAGAAAACCTACTCCAAGTCCTGAAGATTACAGCTTGGATGCCGAAAGACATCACACAGAAGCTTCATTCCATTGTCTTGTAGCCAGTTTGATCCTAGATCCAGATGCGTCAGGCTCTTGTTGTGTAGAAGGGAAGTTGACAGATATTCACTGCTAAGTGAAGTGAAATGGCAATGCCTCAGCCTACAGGAAGGACAATGTGAAGAAAGATGGAATTACTGCAGTACTGTCCAGAGATTTCTCTCTTTGAAAAGATTTCATGATTTGATCCCTTATCTATTTGTCAACATTCCATTTCAGATGAAACACCCTCACTGTCAGCCTGTCTCACTTGGGAAACAGATTTACATCAAATTGGGCTACAAACTAGACTCGTATTCTTCAGCATTTTTCTTACAATAAATCAAATGCTAATCTCATTACATTACACATATACATAGTACTCTACTGCAGAAGTATCTCCATGGACTAGAAGAACAGACAGATGGAGTAGAATAAGAGTAGTCATAATAAGGTAAGTACTCTTTGTACGTAATAGAAGCGGCATTTTCAAACAGCAAGGAAAATCCGTATTATGCCATTATTGCTTTTGTGCAATAGATCTGATATATGGGGAAAAATAAGTTTAAGCCTTATAACAAAATAAATCTGGAATAATTTAACATGTAAATGTTAAAAGTAAACCATAAAGAGTATGAGACGATATATGTGTATTTTTTATAAAAAAAGAAATGTACTTCCAATTACGACAAAACTTCTTGAAGTCGTGAGGCAGAATTTGACATCACAAAAAATTTTAAACTTATCTAATCTAAAAATGACCATAAAGTTAGAAATAAAGCAACATGC